ACTACCAGGTCGTGAATTTGTGTTACGATCCGTAGGTTGTGGTCGTGTGTAGTCGTTAAGTGGAGGTTTTGTTTGTTGATTTTTTTTGTTAGAGTTGAGAGTGATAACGTGGTTGTATCTATTTTTGTGTGTTTCGTTAATTGTAATTTTTTCTTCTTTTCGGTCGATAAATCTTTTATTAAAGAATTTTCGATTATTGTTATCTGTTCTGAAATTTTTATCATCGCATACGTTAGTAGCGTGTAGCGGTGATCTACAGATGTTGCATGTTTTGCCAGCTAAATGTCCTGGCAGGGTATAGATTTTATGTCCTTCAAAATCTAGGGATGCACCACCTGTCGCATCCTCTGGATAGTTGTCTGGAGAGACGTAAATGTATGCGTTTTTCATGGTCGACGATTTAGTGGTTTGTGTGAAGGTACAGGTACGTCCATAAATGTGTTTAATAAGAGGGTTTAAATCCATATGGGTTGTATTTAGCGGTAGTCCAGTGATTTTATAATATTTACTGGTGCGTTTTTTGAATTCTGCGTCATTTTGGTTACCTGGAAGAATTCTTACTACGAAATTTTCTATTTCTAGGCACCAGTAATTTTCTTCCATAAAGTAGTCATATGCTGATTTTTTGTCAAACTGTACAATAAGTTGTTTGTATGCTGGTTTGATTAAGAAAGGGTGTCCGTGATTATTTCGGTTAGGTATTTTTCTTGGGGGTTTTTTGATCTCTTTATGATCAATAACATTGCTGTTAGTTTTGAGTGCGAGGTGTTTGATAAGCATGGATGTATCATAATTGTATGGTATGTCCATAATTTTAATGACAGCTTGGTCCATGGTTGAAAGTTTCCTTTCAATTAATACATTAATTGCAGTGTTGGTAAGTTCGTAAATTTTAATGGGTTTAAGGTTTTCTGGACTATTCTCAATGTATTGATTGAGTGAGTCACGTGTTTTGAAGAAAATGGTGAAATATCTATAAGTGGATGTTGTGTTAACTTCAAATTTGTAAGCATTGCTGTCATTAAGGAATGACGTTTTTAATAGATTGATTATTTCGTTGTTTATGAGATTGGGCTTAAAACTGTCTCTAGGGATAAATCCTTTGTGTGCTTTGTTACAAACTTGTGTTGTACTCTTGAAAATATCCTTGAGCACGGTGATTTCTATACTTTTTGGGGGATTTGTTTGTGTGGCTGTTTGTACTTCAGGAGATTTTCCTTTATTTGTATTGGTATCTTTGGGATCTTCATCCATAATAGTAAAGTTATCAGTGATTGGTGTTTGCGTGTGAACATCATTTTCTGTGTCCTTTGATGAGTCACGTGATGCGATTTCGGTTTCGTTTTCTGGGGGATTTTGTACAGAAGATGTTGAAACAATATCTTCCATAGGAGCAGTTAGTACGTTGTTATCTATATTACTGTCAGAACTTGCAGCATGATTGCTAGACATGGTGGGTCGTCTTTTTGGGGAAGAATATGTGAGATATATATCTTCTTCGTTAGTAATAGGACGATAATTTTTTTCTATATTTTTGAGAAATTTTTTTGAAAATTTTTTCCCAATATTAAAACTCATACAGAAATGTTTCGGGGAGAGCGTAGGTGCCAAAAATTTAATAAAAAATAACGTTTAGTTATGAAGAAATAGTGTTTGTATTGAAGTTATTCTTCGTAAAAATTTTGGTTTCAACGATCGTCCGAAAGAGTTTTTCTAATTTTCACGTGATCAAATATAATTAAAAATGATCAACGTATATATGAAAAGGAAGATCAATCACATGACTATATTGATCATTTGGAGGGTAAATTGATTTTGGTTTATTTTTCAAATTTCCAAAATGCGCAAGAATGTGGTGCAGGAAAAAAGAAAATAACGAAAATAAAATAAAGGTAACAACAGAAAGAATAAACCAAAATATATACTAGGTAGGGGGAGGACTAAAAATAATGACAGAGACAAATAAAGGTAGGGAGCTCAAAAAGAACCAAAACTCAGCACACACACTTCATCAACAGGTAGTAACTTCATTGGTAAGAAGTAAGAACATCTTTCAAAGATGAAGGTCCAGTTTGCGAACTGCTTAGCCAGTTAACTTTAAAGGCATAAGAACTAAACGCACTACTTTTCAACCTTTCAGAAAGCCAGGGAAATATTTGTATGGAACTGCCATCTTACAACGTCATTTGGTAGTGACCAGAACCTTAAGAATAATATTTCTAAATTTCATACAGTCTTTTTGTGGACGCTGGGCAAAGCTCATACGTAAAACCTAAAAATATTACGTTTCACGTAATAACTCGTCATCCAATGATCATAGAAAGATGCACCATAGCTCGTTGGAATCGTCTCATAACGACGAGTCGAATGGTGGTTAAAACGTCTTTCTACGATCACTAGATGCCGAGATATTTAACGAAACGTCAAAAATCAGCATTTTGTATTTTGCGATACTGCGCCGTTTGTCGTTTCGCCTATTATCTCGGCATCCAGTGATCTTAGAAAGACGATCTAACCACCATTCGACTCGTCGTTATGAGACGATTCCAACGAGCTATGGTGCATCTTTCTATGATCATTGGATGCTGAGTTATTACGTGAAACGTAATGTTTTTAGGTTTCGACAATTTCGACATGCCGAAACTCCCTAATTTCGGCAGGCAACTTTACAGTCATACGTCACGAAAGAACTTAGAACACCTCGAAAAGACTTTTTGTTAACCAAAAGCAAAAAGTCCTCATACTTTTCATCCATTTTCTTTATGGGAATTTTTGGCCAAGTGAGCAACGGGAAAGAGTCGATATGATATATATTATAATATGTCAGATACCCAATAAGTCTATGATATGTGACCGATATTTAACTACCTGATATGTGTAAGATGTATATGTGATATTTACATGATGTGTCACCATTTTTCTACATTTCTACTACACATATCGGGTATCTGATATGTGTAGCATTGTTAAATATCATACACATATATCACATATATTGTACACATATCAGGTACCCAATAGATACCCGATAGTAATAATTTTGACCAGTGGTAGCTTTACGACTCATACAAGTGAAGAATACTATACTAAAATATTCAGTCCAGTCCAGTCTGATTTCAGATTATAAATGTAATCCAGACCAATCCAAACCATTTAGAGCTTTATGCATATCCCAACTTTACCCGAAGGTCAATGCTAAAATCTGGTCCATTACTAGAGAAATCCTAAGAGGTTGAACTGTTAAGCGGCGCAGAAAATCCAAGTGTGAGATCTAAGATCCACCCTGAATTATAGAAGAGGATATCCAAGAAAACCAAAAATCCTGAGAAACTGTCATCAAAGAAGAGCCAATAGTGGTAGGAGAAGAAGCAAAATAGTGTTCAGACCCAAGTTTTTAATGGGTACACAGGTTGATCTGTTAAGAGAAATACAAACCCGGGTTGGTACCTGCTAAGGAAAGTTTAACCCAGTTTCTTATTGGATCAACCCAGATTGGTTAACAGGTTGATAACAGTTGGCTAATGGTTGACTAAATAAAGGGTTTTAATGGGTGAATAGTGGGTGTTTAACGGTTTTAATCAGATCAAACACATCACATGAAAATGCGAAAAGTTATATTATTATGTAAATTTTTTTAGCAACGGTATTTATATTATGTGATAATTGAATAAATGATCGACAAATGATCAGTCAGTATTGTGATAAAATAGGGATATCCGCTATGCTTATATGAATAAACAAATATTGGAAAGAAAAATTGAACCAAATAAACTTGTTTTAAACTTTTAAAAAAGTTCATACAAACATATACATAATTGTTTACATTTGTAAAAAATTTTTTTTTTTTTGTAAAACTATAGTAATTATATTTATTTACTATATACTGGTAAATAAACAAAAAATAGTCAACTTTCTTGGGACAGATTGAACTGAATAAACTTGATTTTTGAATTTTTAAAATATATAAAAATATTTTTAAGACCGTGACGAACATGCTAATAATTATTTAAAACCGTGTTACATTACATAAATGTGGTGTTACCCTAAAAATTTCGATTTTAGCTAAATTTGGGCCGGCATTATAAAGTTCGGGCGGAATTACAAAAAAATTGGCCGGCATTATGATTTAAAGATCGACGATTTTTAGCCCATTGACATTTAAATTTCATGTGTAATATACACCTAAAGACAATGTTATACCAAAAATTTTTATTATAACATCATAGTACAAAAATTTTCCTCTTTTATTTTGTGACATTTCCACTGACTGCTATCTGCAACATATAGGTGGTACAATCTTTTAAATTATATTATGAAATGAATTTTTTTTAGTCATAACCCGTTGTTTCGCACCGAAACGAATCTAAATGTTGAAATCTGGTGCAGTCCAAAAATAAAAAACCTTTTTCCATGACCAAAATTATCTGTGATCTGATCATTACGCCATAAACAGCAAATCACTTCGAAAAATCAGCCAATTTTACAATGAAACGACTGTTATACCAAAAGAGAACCATAAATGGCTTTATTTAATCAATATCGTACGTTAAGGTCTGCAGATTTTTTTAGTAAATACAGATGACGTTTTTTTTTGAGAAGTTTTTAATGAAGCTTCGAATATCATGCGATACGTTGAGATTTTTACTGATAGCACAGTCAACCAAGTGATTGACAACCGCTTCACATCATTGGCGTAATCCGTCACACATTCCAGTCATACAACCAGGAAAGCGAAAAACAAAAAAAAAACGCTGAAATCGGCGAAAAAACGCCAATTCTCACCTGATTAAATCAGGTCATAACAATAAACTCGCCTTATTAAATCTAACAATCAAACTCACCTGATTAAATTATCTCATTCGAATAAAAAGGAATAATGTTAAATGGGTTACACATTTTATATTTGTGAAATCAAATCCTCTTATAAAATGAGTGAGCTTTTAACTTTCTTAACTATCAGTCATCAAATAACTTCCAAAGTTTAATATTAAGAAGTAATCATGATGCGTTATTATTTTTTTGTATGCATTTTATTGACCACACTTTCAGTTGTCAATGGTATTCCGCTCAACAAAAGAGCCACTCTTTTCATGCCATGCAATTCTACAATACCCACATTAGATATAACAATTAACCCTGATCCTCCTATTCCTGGAAAAACCTCAACCTTTAAGCTTAAGGGAAATTTTGAAGATTATGCTGTTACTGGATCTTTACTTGGAGTTTTATTTGTTAATCCCAAAACTCTTGACTATGTAAATGACCCCAATGCTAAATATGTACAAAATCTATGTATTATTGCATCCTGCCCGGTAATTTCTTTAGATATAGATGTGGTCGTTCCAATTCCAAAAGTTGGTATGCCCGCTGATATTATTGTTGGAGTTACGGATGCGTATGGAACAAAAATTCATGCCTGTGCGGTATCCGTTCCTATTGGCTCTCCGGCCCTCAAATTTTTGAAAGACAAAACTTTCTCCGAGTGATAAATGGTAATAAATGGAATTGTTAGTAAGAAAGACAGAGGTTACGAGTCTTAGTTTAACTTTTTTTGAAATTTAATTTAATATCATATTTATATATCAGATTATTATAGTTTATTTTTATCAATTTAACTTAAATCATGTATTATAAAAATAAAAAATTTTTTCTAGCTGGTGATGCTGGGAATATATTACATTCCGGCCAGCTTCGTGGGCGCAATAATTTTTCCTGAGCCACGAGAACAATAAAATTAGGGCCGAGAATGTTGAGCTTTAAGGCCAGAATTGTGAAATTGGAAGATAAGCAATTGCAAAACGAAATAGTTAAAAAGTTATTATTTGTATCACGAAAAACGTGATCATGTATTAATTTGGCGAAAGGCGTAAATTTATTTTTAGTCTGAACTGAGAATTCATTAAATTGGAAACACAAAATATATTCTTTATGCACTCCAGTTTTCACCATATAAGGAACAAGTGACATTTAAGTGTCACTTAACACGTGACCGTGCGGAAACGCGCTGTTTATATTTATCTCAGCGACTTAGTGTTTTTGAGTTGCCTGATCTCTATTTGTTGCCCCCGTGACACAAAAAATCCCGCCCACAAAACTTCACCGCGCATGTAACATGTAGATTAATTTTATAATAATAAAATTTTGTGTAACCATAATTGAATTACATCATTTAAAACAATTAAATTATAATATACAACACCATACTAAATAAAGTAATTTAATAGATTCTATCAATTTCTTAAATTAGTTTTTCGTTTTACTAATAATTTTTTTTTTTACATAACCATGAAGTTTATTTTAAAAATCACTTTTTTTGAGATCCTTTTAAAGGTAAGCAACTCAATTTCCATTAAATTTCATTTAATAGTTTGCTAAGTTATTTGTATTTTTATAACAATGCTAACTTTAAATTTGTTATTTTTTTCGTTTAGTAATTTCAGAGCGTATTTAGGTACTTTGTTCACAAGAAAATCCTTTGAAAATTGTTCGGCGAGGTCAAAACTATTTGAATTTCAATTTATACGAAAAGTTAGCCAATATTTATGAAGCTACTGATGTTATTCATAACACAATTAATTTCAATTTTTTGCACACTATCAGTTACTTCAGAACGTAATTTAGAAACTTTGGTCATAAGATAATCACCTTCGTGTATTAAGTGATAATTGTTTACTGAGGTTGATTCCATATGTATTTCAATTTTTATAAGTTTTTAATCAGTACTTATGGAAATATTAACGTTCATTTTTTATCTATTCATTTAATAAATTCAGAGCTTAATTTAGGTACTTTGGTTATAAGACAATCGCCTTTGTGTATTAAGTGAGAATTGTTCAGTGGGATCGAAACTAATTGTATATTAAATTTTGTTAATTTTTGTTTAATATTCGTGAAGATATTGATGTTTTTACGTAATGGTATAGATTTTGAAACCATATTTTCTTTTATTTGTAATATAAAAAAACATTAATTATATCAAATGAAGATCCAACTTGAAAACTCAGTTTGATTAATGAATCTTTTTTAAATTAAAGTGTTATATTATATAAATATAATGTTACATTTGACATGTATTTTTCTAAATTTAAGCTAGAATTATGGATTCGGCCAGAATTAAGAATTTAAAAATCGTCAATTTTAACCAATTAAAATTAATTTAATATATACTATATATTTAACAAGTAAGCTGTGCCACAATTTTTATTATATCGATCATAATAAAAAAAATTAGGGTGTTATATGCGCACTGATTAATAAACTATGTCCATCATATTAGATATATTGTATAGAAGTTTACACACGAAGAGAAAAAAAAATTGTTTTCTAATAAAAATAACATTTTTTATAAGTAAAAAAAAAATGCAAAAGTAAAATATTCAAAATATTTTAATAATAAATAATACATTAGCAATAAATTATTTAAAGTACGAAATCGATTGAATTGCATGGAGTTTTTCGCACCATTTGTTTTTTTCGGTCTCTGGTAAAGCATTCCACTTTTCTAACATCATTCTGCTGAAATGAGACATATTAATTATAGTAGGTCTGTATCTCCTTAACCAGTGTTGGCATTTGGCCGCGGCCAAAGATTTTTTTGGCCAGTTTGGCCGGCCAAACTGGCCAAACGGCCAAGTGCCAACACTGCCTTAACATTACGTTACGAAAGTAAATGAACACATTAACTCTTTTTTTCCTATTTTTTTCAACGTACTATGGAATAAATCGAATTGGTTTCGGTTTCATAATTAAAATTATTAAAATTGAAAGATCATTTTTTTTAATAATTTAGGAAATTAGGAGAAATTTTTTCGTTTTTTTTTTCTTTTAGAACTTATTGCGAAATGAAAATAAATCTATCGTTTTTATACTTTTGGAAAACATATTCACGGAAATAAATTATATTGAATCGCGCCAAATAACGATTCAACACGACAGCTGCATTGAAGATAAATAAATTTACAATACCTGTGCATATATTTTCATGCGTACAATAAATAGCCGAAGTCCGAGAAATTTCCTAAATATATTGAGAAATGATTAATACAAATTTGTAAGTCTATAAGAGCGATGCGTGAAACGAATATGGTTAAACTAAATATAAAATTTGATAATTATAAGACAAAAGCTATATAAGTTCAATGAATAAAAGTCATACAATAACAAATCATAATAAAGGAATGATTTGGCTTTACGGAAAAGATGTATTTGTGTGTTTTTTATAGGGGCAATATATTATTAGATAGTAATATAATTAATTTAAAATTAGTTCATATGTCCAAATCTGGAGAAGATAATATCTAATTCATAGTTGTAAAGTAAATAAAAAAACGATTAACATTTATCCTTTCAAATATATATATTTTTTTTTTCAATCAGCTTTATGCTATTTGTCGTTTCCATTTACGTGTCAAATATTTGATTATCTTATCTTTTATTCAGACAGTCGGAATTGACTGAAAAAAAATCAAATAAAGAAACAACTGAAAGAACTGAAATGGAGTTCTAAAATTGAATAAAATTAAACTAAATACATTCATATATGAACCGAATATAAAACTATATAAAATTTTAGAGATTACGTAATATATATAGCATTAAAGTTTATTGTAAAATACGTGTTTATATTCAATATTTCTATTACAATATAAATTGTATTTAATTGCTAAAAATGATCCTCGGCTGTAACGAATTGAATAATACGCTACAGAAGGGTTTTATTGTATGCATGAATGCTCACAGATTTTAAACTTATAACTTTAATCGCAACACCTTTTAATTTAAACAACTTATTTATTTATATGTATATACATACACTGTAATCATTAATTCTACTACATGAAAGGTTCAATGGTTAAAATTTTTGTAATACTAAGGATATTATTCGCTCCTTAATTTCGCTTATAGTATGATATGTTATTATATAACTTTATTCCAACCTTCTTTATCTTATTGTTTTATTTTTATTTTAAGTTTAGTGTCTTTCTTATAGACCTACAAATAAGATTTTATTTATTTTGAATTACACAAAATATATATATATATAATTAGAATTTTTTGATTCCGTAACGATAAGATATTTATTTGCCTTTTTATCTCTCTTAAACTCTTATAATTACAAATTTGTTATTGTAAGTTGAAGGCGATCACAATTAAGTTAATATGTTACTTTCCGAAACATATGCGTGCATTAAATCTATAAGTTATTTTATTCTATAAAAAATACAGATATATTTGAAATGTTATAAAATTAAATATACACTATTTTAAAGATTATGTTAATTTTAACAATTTATATATTTTTTTAGTTTCAATTTACTAATTTCAGTAATACATTCAAAGATCACGTATGCGATCGAGTCAACGATCGGACCGGATAATCCGTCAATCCGGTCTTTTTTTATAAGTTTTTTTTCATATATTGTAATTTTTTTTTATTCGTTTCCGGACACTCATTTTGTCCAAAATTTGTATAATAAAAAAAATTTTTTTTATTAATTAATTGATTTTTTTTTAAAAAAAAGAAACCCAATTCGGCCGGATATTTTGACGGAATATCCCACATCCATCAAAATATCCGGCCGAACCGTCTTTTTATTTTGTTTTTTTAATTTTATTCAAGAAAAAATAGAAAAAAAGGGTTACAGTACATTTCGCCGAAAATGGTAGCGATTAACATTTTAATAAAAATATTCATCGCGTAATGAAAAATTATTTTTAGAGATTTTTTTTCCAGAATATTATCACTTTAACATTCAAGTAATATTAATTGTTAAGAAATAAAGAAATAAATTTATTTTTCTTGAAAACATTTATTCACGAAAAAGTAAGTAAAAAAGACTATTAATATTATAAACAACGAGATAAATTTAATAAAATCAGCTAATTCAAAATTTTTTCTAGAAACATTTCTTTTATGTATTTAGTATAAAAATAATAAATAACCAAATGGAATAAATAATTTTTCGGCGAAATGGGTTTCGGTGAAATGGACTTCGGCGAAAAGTCCGGATACCGAGAAAAAGACATATTTTTAACGGATATTGGATAATCCGGCAAAATATCCGGCTAAAAATTACAGAAAAACCAATTTTTTATCAATTTAAAAAAAAAATCATTTTTTTATTAATTGATTTTTCATCGGATTCACTAGATATTCGATGAGCTATTTGGTCAATCCGTTCGTCTGTTCATTAGATATCCGATGAGCCATTCGATAAATCCACGGATAAATCCGATCAATCCGTTTTTAGTAGTATTTCGGCTTCAGATAAAATTTACCTCGTTTAATAAGTTATAGTATAATATTTTATGAAATTCAGTTAATATAAGTTTAATTAGTTGTAATCTTTTAGTTTATGAAGAACAAAAAGATGGGCTTATTAGGCTTATTATTAGTGTGGGCTGTGTACTATATATCACACAGAATAATTCAAATTTTATCATCTCTGATGCTGATGTGGCTTTTAATGTGACTTTGCCAAGTTTT